GCGCATCTCGGTCGGAGGTTCGCGGGGAGTGGTGGGGGGGGGGGGGAACGGCGCAGCTAGTACACCCCTCCCCCAGCAGACTAGGCTTTTGTTGTGGACCCTGGGGCAGAGCAGCTGGGGCGCTGCCCGTTGGCCTCTTAAGGGGGGGGTAGTCTTATACGGCGAGTATAGGCGAAAACCTATGTTTTATCTAGAAAATTAGGGGGTCGTCTTATACGCCCAGTGGCCTTATACGCCGGAAAATACGGTATATGTGAAGTTACACAATTTTGCTCTTTGTTCTTTACAAAAATACGTTGTGAGCCTGTGAAATGCCACAAACCAGTTCCCTCAAAATAAATTTAAAAAAGGAGCTCTAAACAAAGAATATTACATGTCAAACTTAAGGTACACAGAAGCTGCAAGCAAGACTACAATTCATATGACTGAGTGGGAAGTACATAGGCAATGAGGGCTGCCTAAACTCATGACAAAGCATGGATTGTTTTTCCCAGCATCTGAAGGATATAAAGTAAGAGGCAGAGAGATCATCAGACTTACCTCTCCTCCTCCACCCGTACACAAGACAAAAAGACGGATTTGGGAGACAGAAACATCATTGAACTGAGGAAATTGGCCCTTTCCAGTTACCACAGACTACTGTAGACTTAAGAGAAACCTTATTTCTTCAAATATGATTTAGCCTGATGAAGTTCAGGACATAGCTTGCAGTTTTCCTCTTTTATTTCTGTTTGCAATGAATTCTGATTCTCTTCATCTCTAATTGCTTCAGATATTTCTGTCATTAATAAATGTAATCTTTTATCCACACTAGGGATATAACAGTGTACACATTTAAATGGTTAACCAAAGAACATGAGCTCATTGGTTAACCTGCATAATTATACACACAAGGCCTCCTCCCTATTAAGCAGGCTCTCTGCAAGCACCAGCTCTTGGGGAACTGATACAGAGGCAACAGTAGAGAGTAAGAGGGCAGGCAGAGGCAGCCTGTGTGTACAGGTTCCTGCCAAACAGCACCACAACACCCTTCCCCCCGCATCTAAATATGTAACTGGTGAAAATTTCAGTGGTTACACATTTACCAAATACACACACACACACACACACACACACACACACACACACTTACTTTAACATCCCTAATCTACACCAGTGTGGTTTTGGTCAAAGTTTGAAGAATGTACTCAGATTACAAAGAACTAATGCATATTCATAGGCTTTGATGGACTGATGAACTAATTAAAAGAGCTCCCTCTGAAAAAGTGAACCTTGAGCAGTGTAAGAGGTACATTCTGTAAGATTGGAACAAGGGATAGATTCGTAGAAATGGAAAGGATGTAGGGTTGCCAGATAGTTTAACCGAAAATACCGACCCTCCCCCAAAAAAAAAAAAAAAAAAAAAAAAAGGGGGGGGGGGGAAAAGGGGGAAACAAAATTTTTTTTTTTTTTTTTTTTAATGAACAAAAGACCCCAACAGTTACTGAGCAATTAAAAAAAACAAAACAACAACAACAACAACAAAAAAGCATGGCCTCTAAGTCCTTTGGAGCTTTTTTTGCCAGCAGCCATCGTGTTTTCTTAGTCTGTGCTGGAAAAGACCTGCCCTGAGAAACAGGTAAGCGGGGGGGGAGGGGGAAGGAGGGAGAGAAGCGGGGTTCGGGAGGGGCCTGTGGGCTGGGTCGGGAGGGTCCCGGGCCGAATTACTGAGTGTGTGTAGAATTGCCAGGTGTCTGGTATTTTTGTTTCCTGGCAGGGGGGAAAAAAATAAATCAGAAAATACTGGACATTTTAGGTGTTCAGTATTTTCTGATTTTTTTTTAAACTGGACAGGAAGCAAAAATACCAGACTATCCGGGTCAATACCGGACACCTGCCAACCTTAAAAGGATACCTAGAAGTCATTAAGTCCAGTCCCTTTCACTCATGGCAGGACCAAGCACCATCTAGACCACCCTGCCAGGTGTTTATCTAGCCTGCTCTTAAAAACCTCCTGTGATTCCACAACCTACACAGTTTATTCCAGTGCTTAACCACACTGACAGTTAGGAAGCTTTTCCTAATGTCCAACCTAAACCACAGTTTAAACCCATTGTTTCTCGCCCTATCCTCATAGGTTAAGGAGAATGTTTTTTTTCCCTCCTTTGTCCTTGTAACAACCTTTTATATACATGAAAACTGTTATGTCCCCTCTCAGTCCTCTTTCCCAGAGTAAACATCCCCAATTCTTTCAGTCTCATTGGGGTAATCATGATTTCTAGACCTTTAATCATTTCTGTTGCTTTTTTCTGGTCTTTTCACCAATTTGTCCACTTCTTTCCTGAAGTGTGGTACCCATAACAGAACACAATACTTCAGGTGAGGACTAATCAGTTCACCGTACAGTGGAAGAATTACTTCTTGTGTCTTGCTTACAACACTACTGCTATTGCATCCCAGAATCATGTTCGCTTTTTTACAATAGTGCCACATTTAGCTTGTGGACCACTATTACCCCTAGATCTCTTTCCACAATACTCCATATTACATGGTCATTTCCCATTTAGTATGTATGTAATATATTGTTTCTTTCAACCTATTTAGCGCAAATCATTTCTCTGTTTTTGTCCAGATCTTTTTGAATTTTTATCTTATCATCCAAAACACTTGCAACCCCTCCCAGCTTGCTATCATTCATAAACTTTGTAAGTGTACTCTATGCCATTATCCTGCTGAGCCAGAAGCTCTGGTGTCTCCCAATCAAAGCACAGATTGGGGTAATTAGCCCCCAGCACAGCAACACAAAGCATTTCACACTAATGGTAAACCACTCAACAATGCTCAACATACATGATTTTTGGAAAAGGTGCATGCTGGGGATAAGAGCAAAAAAGTCCCATAAGCATGCAACTTCTGTAAAAAGACTTAGAAGTGGGTATAGCAATAAAGGCATAACAAACCATCTCATGACATTGGTGGTTAAATGCCAAGAAATCTACACAATCAAAGACACTGTTATCTGTGTTCTGGGGGGCACTGTTATACCCCAACATGTTTGCAGGCATTTGGGGGGGCAGAACTTTAGGAAATCTACTATGAAGGACACCACAGGATTTAGTGAAACTTGCTTGTCATATAATCAAAACCCAACAGAATTTTTGAACACACTGCCTCTGCACTGAACGTTGTCCAAATCTCTAGCAGTGAACTCAGCGGAGAGGTGTCACGAGCTCCCCATGCTTTATGAAAATTGTGTTATGAATACAAATGTGCATAACTCAAAGATACTTTATGCAGAATACATTATGTAACTTTTAAAAAGTTACATAACGCTGAATCTGCATATCCTATTTTTGTTTATTTATCATTGTTATATGTGCAGTAAGACATATAAAGTGTGAATCTGTTTTTAATTTTAAATGTGCCAATGAGAGCCATTAGTAAAACATTAGGTACTTAATGGCACAGTACTCAAACAACCACCCATGAATGATTTTACTTTTTTCTGTAAACCCAAC